GGCTTGCGCGGGTCCCAGAGCTGCCGCGCGATACCCCCAGTCAGCCTACCAGCAAGTACAGCTCAGCAGAAACGTCGCGCGCACCTTGATGACCCCGTCGTCGTCCCCGGACGCGAGCAGGGTCGGGAGGAGTCGCTTCAGGCGGTTAATCGGCGCACTTCCGTCCACTGCCCAGGTCAGCGGGCCACTCGCGCGCACCGCGAGACGCGTAGCACTCACTCGTGGGCGCCCGCGCGGGTGTCGACGACCTCCCCCGTCCCGACGTCGATCGTGCTAGGATACCGCAGCACACATCAGTTCGAGCTCTCCCCCGTGCCGTGTGAGAGTCGCGCTGCTGCGTACTGGATTGCTTTCGCCTTCCCTGCGGCCCAAAGCTGGCCGCCGTCCGCGCTCATGGCGAGTGCTCTGCATGACTTCTTCGCCGGCCGGAGGGAAAACTTCGCTTCGTGGTTGCCTTGCTCGTCGTAGGTGAACGCTTTTATGTGCCCGGTGAGCAGCCCCGTGCAGACTAGCGGTTGGTTTGGGTGGAAAGCAAAGTCGAATATCTGCGCGCCCACAGGTATGTCGGGCATTTTTTTAGAAGACGAGCAGACTGAAAACCAATTGCCGGGTCGTAGTGGGAGAACTCAAGGCTCCGTGGGCTTTGAGTCTTCTACTGCAGCATGGAAGCGCCCGTTTAAACTAGACGCTCGCGCGTGTAAGTGCGAATAGGCCTGCAGCTCTGCGCACATAGTGGACACGCTTCCGCTCACGACATATAATGCGCCAAGCAGATATATGTACAAACCATGGAAGGGATGGAGGGGAATATGAGAGATGGTACAGTGGGCTTTTATAGCTTCCTATTGACCTCATAACAGCACAGCGATGCAGGAATACGTATGGAGATACAGATACAGTAGCAGCAGTAACGAATAAACAGCCGAGTCTCGTAAATATGTGCAAGAGAGATGAAGTCCTGTATCTTAGATGTCGGTGAGGCAGAGATGATGACGATGAGCAGGCCAAGGATGGTTGAAGCAGAGCAGGGGGGCACGGGGACGATGTGGACTGGGTCAGTCGTTGAGCTCATAGTACGTGCGGAACATAGACTCCGTGCGCAGGACCGAGTGGGATATCACGCCGTGAACGTGGAGGAAGAGGCGGGGGAAGCGGCGGGTGAAGTATGCCAGGAAGCCCTCGGGCATCGACCCCAGCAGTCGCTTTACGTTGTCCGGCAGATCCTGGTAGTGGTGTTTCTGCAAATGCGCAGACGTCGGTATACCGCACCCGTCCCCGAGCGAACGAAAGCCACGTACCTTATTGCGTAGCGCACGCAACAGATCCTGTACCGATCGGCCGTCGTATTTGCGGAACTTGCCCAGGTTGTCGATGAACAGCTTGTCGAGGCGCGCGTGCCAGTCCGCGCCGACGACGTCGTTCGCGCCCTTCTCCAGCGCGAGCAGGTTTGCGTCCTTCGGGTCGCGGCACATGATCTCGAACCGGTCCGACGCATCTTGGAGGAACGTGAGGCGCTTGCCCGGGTCCCAGAAGTACGGGTGCAGCAAACAGCTCGTCGTGTCAGGCCTGATGCGAAGTATGCCGTCAGCGACATACCTAGAGTATATGCAAAACCAAACTAACCTGTCGTACGCCTCCGGGGTCAACATCCGAGTGATGAGGTCCACACCTTCCGAGCCCTCCTCCCCAAAGCGTTCAAGTCCTTCCAAGTTCTTCGCATTCTTGAGAATATTGAACTCGCGCTCGAACCGGTCGCCGAACGGGTGGGCTCCGTTCGTGAGCACGTAGTAGTACAGACACCCAAGCGCGAAGATGTCGACGGACTTTGTCAGGCGCGTCGGCTTCGCCATGGGCGTCCCGGCGGTCGGGGTGCCCACGCTCCCGCGGGACGACTGCGACTCGTCCGAGCCTGCGTCCAGCAGGCTCACCTCGCCGCGCAGGATCTCCGGCGCGCGCCACCCGACGGTGCCCGCGGCCAGCGAGCCGTGCGCGGTCGGCAGGAAGCTCGTCTGGTCGAACTCGAGCTTCTTGCACAGCCCGAAGTCAGAGATGAGCATGCGGTGGCCGGCGTTCTCGCCGACGCCCTTCTTCGCGTATGAGATGAGGATGTTCTGCGGCTTGATGTCGCGGTGGATGATCTTGAGCGCGTGCAGGTGGCGCAGGCCGGACGTGATCTGGCGCAGCGCGCGCTTCGGCTCGAACGCGACGACGATGTCGCGGAACTGGTCCGGGCGCTCGATGATGTCTGCGAGCGACGCGGGGCAGAGCTCGAGCGCGATGTAGAGGAAGTTCGAGTGTGCCTCTTGGTAGTAGTACCGGATGACGTTCGGGTGGTCGTCCGACTCCTGTAGGACGTTCACTTCGCGCGAGGCGAGGGTGACGAAGTCGGCGAGCATGCGCTTCACGGCTACCGCTCTCCCCTGCAGCGAGCCCTTGTAGACAACTGTCCCGTGAGACCCAAGGCCTGTTGATATGGTTAGTACCTTCACATCGGATGGATATTCGGATGTGAGCACGTACCAAGGACACTGTCCGAGACAACCAGGGTAGGAACATTAGGAGAAGGCGGTGAGGGAGCTAGGACAATAGATGACTTGGGCTTGGGTGGCTCATCCACGCCGTTGGGCTGGCCGTCTGCTGATGCCTCGTCTTCACCTGTTATCTGTTCTGCCTCGTCCGCAGGCACCACGATGGTGACGGTCGCTTTTTTCTTCTTCCCTCGTTTCCGTCGGATGCCCTTGCGCTTGCCCGGCGTATCGAGCGCGTCGCCCTCCTTCTCGGTGTCCTCGCCGTCCGGCACGTCGTTGCCATTATCCATAGGCGCAAGCGGTTCGAGGGCCTCTGGGGCAAACAAAACATTCGTCGCGGGGGCCGGTTCTATCGAAGGTGTGGAGCTCTCCGGCGCCAACGCGTGCCCATTAGCAGAGGGAACAGCGGAGTTAGACACCTCAGTGTCTGGTGTTGGTCCATTCGTCGCCGTCTTCTCATTGTCTTGTGCAGCTGCGGAGACAGGAACGGGCTCAATGGCGGCTCGGGAGGAGGGTGGTGCAGTGGGTCCGAGGAATTTGCGGACAAATACCCACACCAGGAGCACGACCGCGCATAGGGTGAATGCAGAGAATGCCTGCGTTGGGCCGCTCATACCCAGCAGTAGGTTTGGAGGGTGCGTATCTGCGCGCGGGGCTGGCGGAACGCCATCCCACCCGATCGGCGGGTTGATCGTGGTGTTGCCAGAGCTATCCGGGAGGGGAGGCTCGGCAATGGGCGCATCTCGAAGCGGTGGCACCCCGGGGATGTTGCTGTTGTGACTTGGCGAGGGAGCGACAGAGGGCGCGCCGTCGAGCAGTCTGCTGATCCTGGACTGACTGTCCGACCCGAGCTTTCTCACACCGGTCAGGCAGCGAATGTCGGTGGAGCCGTTCTTGCAGGCCTCGCGGAATTTGTGCTCCTTCGCGATCAGTTTGGCGGTGTCAAGCTCCGGGGGAAAGTCTTTGCCCGAGTTCCTATGAGTTCCGGGGGAGGGTCAAGCATCCGTCTGCTACGGGCCGAGTCAGAGTCGGCGTCACCAAATACTACGAGCGGGAAACGGTCGGGGCTCATAGCGAACAGAGAGCCCGACTCTTCGACCAGCCCAACGTATGCTGCATCCAGGTTGGGGAGTCGATTGTGCTTGGCGGCATCAGCCAAGTCAACGGAGGGGAGGATGTCCTGTAGACGCGGTTGGGGTTGAAGGAGCACAAATGGTTGGGAACGCTTGGGTGAGCGCAGAACGTCGAAGGTGGCAACACTGCGCAGGGCTTTTAGCATGACTCTCAATTACGCCGTACTTTTCAGGTACCTACATAGGATTTGAAAAGGTTTGATACCACATGGGATGTGCGTTTGAGGAGGAACCTGCGTTCTCCGGCCCAGCGGTCTTGAACGAGATGATCTTGCCGGTAGGAAGCGACTGGATGTACACATTATCGGCGGTGCGGTGGTAGATAGATTGAAGGCCATGGTCTTGCTTGTTGGGTCCGTAGGTAGAGAACGAGAGTTTCTGGACGTGCGGGCGCCCTCCTGACCCTCCACTAGGACGTGTATGGATGGATATATGGTAGTCTAAATGTCAAGTGCTGGAATGATTACGAGCAGAATACACGGAGGTCTTTAGAGCCATACCTGTACGTCCAATGAACACTTCGCTGGGTATGAACGGCTCTGGCGGCGGGTCCGAACTTTCTAGTTCGTCAAGGTCAACCTGTTTCGAAGTCTGCGAAAGGTCCTCGAATGGCAGCCAAGGACACTCGGAGTCCACCGTCGCCTTGATCCTGCCTGTCTCCAGTTCTATCAGCAGGAGGGAAGTCTCCTTCTTTCCCACAAACACCCGCCGATCCTCGTCGCCCGAGAAGCTGAAAGGGGACATGTCGACAAGCTGAGACATGGAGAAGGGAAGCCTCTGCAAGGGGCTATCCGGCGAGGACATCACATAGATCTCTCCAGACTGAGGCTCTACTATGTATATCTCCTGCGCAGGATCGTCATCGTCCGTGATGTCTTGGTCGAGTTCCGGGTGCTCAGTGCGCACGAGAGGGCTGAATGCTGTGGGGGCAGACCCGGAGACGGCCTCAGGAGCAGCAGAGGATGCCATAGACCAGATAGATATCCCAGAAGTCCTATTGAGAGCATGGAGTTTACCGTCAACGGAGGCGACGAGGACTATGTCGAGGAGTTGAGGGTCATCCTGTCCGCCGAAGACAGGTCCGTCATGGGCGGTGTTGACATGGGTAGAGAGGCCCTTGGCCGGTCGGAGAGAGAGAAGTTCTGCAAAACATGCCCCCGCAGTGACGAGCAAAGCAGAGAGAGTAGAGATGGGTTTCATGCCATGCGAGGAGCAGGGGGTGGTGGGTGGGAGAGCGCGAGAGCGAGATGTCGGCTCGATGGACAGTGGACACGACTACTTCGTACGCAGTAGTGCGGCAGACACAGTCTATAGTGCTGTCCAGAGCAACATCTACCACGGCCCAATGGTCTAGTAGTATGATTCGCGCTTCGGGTCATGCCGAGTCTGCGCGAGGTCCCGGGTTCAATTCCCGGTTGGGCCCATTATTTTGCCTCTTCGCACAGCAGTATAATAGCATAAATCCCGTTTACAATAATTCTGCCAGCGAACTTTAAGCTGGTTTGTTCGGTTCTGCTGCGAGGCGAGCCAAGCTGTCGTCTGTGTCGAATGCCGATGCGCAGCTTCGCGGAGGCGCATGATAATGTCGGCCCCGACGATCGAAGTTGCGGCCCGATGCCAGATCGCGATCGGGAGCTCGTGCCTTTCGCCAAGAGGCGCCCATATTTGGCACATTTTGCTGACTCTCGGCACGGAATCCCATCTCTCTCTCCTCCTCCCACCTCTCTTTGCCCAGTTCTCGCGGTCGTAGTTGAGGCCCAGTTTGCACCGCTAACAGCACTCTTTACTGTCAACGCACATGTCATCTGCAGGGCCCAGCAGGCCCCGTGTAATAACCCTCACTGCCGACCAGCTCCTCGGCACGAGCCTCACTCCCGCACGCCCCCACAGGCACGCAAAGACCAACAGTGCACCTCGGGTACTTACCATCGAGGACCTTGTTGGCACTGGACTCACTGTCGCCCGCCCCGCCTCGAGACCAGCTCCCACTCGCCCAGCTCCGCGCGCCGCTCCCAGAGCTCCTCCACCACGTGCTCCCGCCTCCTCCAGCACTCGCACGACCTTGAATCCACGCCTTGTGCGTGTTACAGCGGATGAAGTGCTGAGGACAGGCATTCCTGTGCGCACTTTGCAGGCGGTGAAGGCGCGATCGGGACAGGCGCAGCCTCTCACGGCAGAGGAACTCTTGGCGGCGACTAGTCCGACGCCCTCTGGCAGCCGGATCACGCGAGGACGCGCAATCTCCTCCGGACTAAGCAGCGGGAGTAGCAGTGGTGCGAGCAGTAGTCGTCCCACCACCGCCCCCGGTGCAGGTTCTACCACTGGACGTACCCTGGGGAGCCCGTCCACAGGCAACTCTCACGGCACACGACAAGCAGCCCAGCCTGCGAACCGCGTCAATGAGGGTTCGGGAGCCTCTGCATCTACTCATGGCCGGAACGCTCGTCAGGCGCGACGCAGCAACAGTCTGGGCTCTACACGGACGCTCCCCATGTACACTCAGGAACCGGGAGAGTCTGAGGTGGTTATCAGCCGGTAGGTGTCACGTTCCCGTCCTTCTGTACCACTTGCGTTTTCCCAAGGTTCCCCAATTGCCGTCGGGGTTACACAGCGCCGCTGCCGAAAGATCGCTCTCTATAGCAAAAACTACGCATTTGCTTGGCGAGGCTATACTGCGTATTCTGCATTCGCAGTCTGTCAGTGCGTGACGCCATTGATATTGATGTTCATCTTCAATCCATCTTTCGACTGTAACGATGACATGAGCTGATCTCGCCCTCCAGTGGCGCGAATGAACTCGAAGACGGCGACGGCGCCGAAACCCCGATAACGGCTATGTCCCCAGTGGACGAGAATGAGCCAAATTCAGATGCCACTGCAGTCGCCGCCGGCTCGATCCCCTCACCCCCAGCTTCACCGGACTTGACAGAGGGGCCAACAATCAGTCGTCAACTGAGCCCTGTTGACGCGAGCTCGCCCGCCGAGTCGCCTCTACCTAGCGGTGTACCGTCTCTGCCCCCTTGGACATCGATCTACCCTGATGCGGCTCCGTCGTACGAGGCTGTTATGAGCACTCCGAACCTGCATGTCTATCACAACTCGCCGGCGCCCAGTTCGCCCATCCTCATTCCTAGCTCGTTCCCGTGGAATGCCAACCCAAGCGGCTCTCCTCCCTACTCGGCGTCGCCGGTACTCCGGCATGCGACGCCCAGCTCCGCATTAGCCAGCAGCGGCAGTCCCGTCTCTACCAGTCCCGGACCCGGACCCGGACCCGTATCGACCTCACCACGTCCCAGCGTCCGCGTCGTCGCCCCGCATGTGCCCGCGGCCTCGCGCACCTCGCCCGGCTCCAGGAGCCCTGGCAGCCCCTCCAGTTCCCCCGGCGAACGGTCGGATGGGGCAGACACACACCGCCGTCGCTTCGGATTCATGTCCCTCTTCCACTCGCGCAGCTCCAGTCGCCTCCGCGCCCGCTCGCACTCACACTCACACTCTCTGTCGTCGCCGCAGACGGGCCCCAGCCGCGTTGCGTCGCCAGAGCTCCTCGCCCCGGTCCCCACGCGCCCGTTCCACCGGCTGTCCCAGTCTGCGTCTGGCTCGATGCTGGACCTCGTCTCGCGTTCGCGTGCGGACAGCTAAGGCTATATTGGCCGGCTGTGTAGCGCACTTCCCCCCTCCGTTTGTGTACAAATAGTACTTATTCTTATGCACCCCTCACATCTCTATGCCGACGCCATATCTCGTTAGTCTGGATCAAGTCCCCATTTATTGTGTTATATACCTTTCCACACGGACCGTTTCTACCTGCTGTAGCTATTATTCCCCCACCCCCTTTCTCAGCCCATAGAATTTAGTTCGTAGTCACATATCGACTGCGCTTTACGAGTCGTGGTAACCCCAATTAGCTGCGCACAGGATTTCCCCAGATCGTCGGCCGGTTGGCCCAAAATCTATTGTGTCTTCCGATCTTGCTGTCATGGCTCTGGATAACGATGCTGCATAATACAACTGCGCGTCGGTTGCCGATACTGCACTGGTCTGCTAAACAATGTTTAAAACAACGATAACAGAGGAGTCCGCGCTCTGACGAAAATAGGATGTGTCATGTACGGCGTCCCTTGGCGTCCGTCCCTGACCTGGAATCACGGCGGCAACTCCTCTCCTTCTCCTCTCCTCTTATCCCCCTCTTCTCCCCCGTCTGTACTTGGGTATTGCTCGTTGTTCACGTCTAATTTACGTCTCCACGACAACGCGGACAGCACAGGCAACCCCTCGGTTGGCCCCATGTATCACAATTCTGTAACCTGTGCTCTCCTGGTGCTCCTCGCGTCGTCCAGCGCACGAGCAGCCCCAACCGACTCTCAACTCCACCGGAGACAGACTTCGAGTGGATCGAGCACCCCGGGGGCCATAGGGCCACAGATATGGGTGCGTCTCGCCGAGCGACCTGACGACTCCCCACGCTCACCGCGCACAGATCCCGCTCGTGATACTCGCAATCCTCATCGTCGCAGGCCTCTCTGTCGCCTGCTACAGCCGCAACTTCGGGCGGTGGTCGAACTGGGGCGGGAGTGTCGCGCAGGCGGCGGCCGCCGCGGCGGGGACGACGCCCGCGAACGCGCGTGAGCTCACTGCGGACCAGCTCGCGGGCACGACGGCGAACAACACGACGGCGAACGCGAGCGGGGGCACTGGACGTGCGCGGAGGCCGCGGCGCACTCGCCGCACCCCGAGCCAGATCTCGACCCACTCGCTGCCAGCGTACATGAAGGAGCCTGGAGACCAGGAGATTGTGATTGGCAGGTGGGTGTGCGGGCGCAGTATCATGATATCACTCTTGTGCTGACTTTAGCTCTGCAGGGGTCAGGATGACCTGGAAGACATGCCGATACCAATTACGGTGACGATGCCCATGGTCGACGAGAATATCGCCGATACTCCCGACGGCTCGTTCGACGCGACGAGGCCCTCGTCCGAGTATGTGGCGATGCCAGAGTCGCCTACGGACGAGCCGCTGCTCCAGCACGGAGAGCACGAGTCTGAGCAGCACCTGACTGCGACGCACGACGACTCTGCGACGCGTAGGAGCTTCGACAGCGCCATCAGCTCAGATAACTCGCATGTGAACTACACTGATGATGCGCCTCCGTACGAGGCTATCCCGCTCAACAGCTCGGCTGACTCTCCCACGTCTTCCCTCCCATCGAACCCTGCGCATGCTGCGGGGGCGTCGGGGGGCCAAGCGCCACAGCCACAAACCCATGGGGAAGGCGTCGGCGCTGGGTCCACACGCCGACGGTCGGTGTTCATGTCGATCTTCAACCCGCGCAACTCTCGCATGGCGCCTCCCCCGGTGCCCAGCAACGCGGGCTCGCCCGAGCCGCGGCCCAGCGGCCACACTCGCGAAGGCTCGGGCCCCTCCATCGTCTCCCTCGCACCCTCCGAGCGCGACCCGCGTCCACGGAGTCGCGTCCGGCACCGGCCGTCGCACTCTGGGTCGGGCTCGATGTTCAGCCTGCTGTCGCGCACGCGGTCGAACGGGAACCTTGCGGCGGACAGGCTGACCTCGCCCTCGATGATCAGTCTGAACTCGATCTCCTCGCCATTGTCGCACACGCTCGTCCGGACAGAGTTCGCCTACCCGAAGACCGGCCCCACCCCGGAACAGCTCAAATTTATCTCTAGCAGGGACAATGTCGCGCGGTTTGGTGTCCCGTATGGCTCGGACGCGATTGCGTTCGCGTCGACGTCAAGAGTGAACCTGGAGCCGCCCCCTGGGTTTGAGGAGGTTGCCACCACGAGTGGGACATCGCCTCTCGCCGCTGAGGAAAGGGACGAGAGTCCTGACTTAACAATGTCGGAAGAGTCGAACGACGTCGAGGCGACTGCGGCCGGCAATGGCACACATGTGGCATCCTCGGAGAGCAGTTCTCAGGCTCAGGCACAGAACACAGAGGTGCCCACGTCGACGTCCAACAGCATCGAAGGTCTACCGCCAACCTCAGATCCTCTCGAAGCTCAGTTCTCTGTACCGTCGGCGAGTCTTCCGAGTATAACCACGTCACCCTCAGAGCCTTCCCACCCCGCCCCGTTGTCGCCTCCCCCGAGTGCGTCTACAACATCCCCAGCTCCGTCCAACCCCCCTCCATCTGCTTTCAAAGGCGGCTTCAATACGGGTTCCCTCCCTACCCGCGCCGCTTCCCGGGCGAGCTCGTACATGACCTTTGAAACGGCCGACGAGTCCATGAACGCATCGGAGCCCCCGACTCCTGGGGCATCGCGCTACGATCTCGCGGATGACGCGTATGAGAGCGCGGTAGAGACACCTGTGGACGGTTCCGTACCTGTTACTCCACGACTTGAATCACGACACCTACATGAACCTACCGACACGACCATCACGCCTGGAAGATGAGCCACATC